AGAGTCTCAGGTTTGATTCCCGGTCAAGGGCACATACCTCAGTTGCAGGTTTGATCCTCAGCCCTGGCTGGGGTCATGTAGGAGGCAACCAATTGATGTGTCTCTCACATCAATGTTTCTCTCTCTCTCCCTCCCTCCCACTCAATCTAAAAAAAAAAAAATCAATGGAAAAATATCCTTGGGTGAGGATTAAAAAAATAAAAGACGGTGTGTGCTGTGTCCTCTGCTGTGTGTGTGTGTGTGTGTGGTCACATGCCTACAGCTCTCCCATCCTGAACCTCACATCACACTAAATACAAAAGGGCGATGCCCGTGCTGTCCGCAGCAAAACGGCCTGCACCGCCAGCTAGACGGGAAATCAAACTGCGTCTGCCTGGAACCGCTCCAGGATTCTCCTTAGGGGCTGTGCCCCTACAGTCAGTGACCACGTAACGACCTGGAGTCTCCTGAAACTCTCACAGACGGGTCAGGTGAGAGGCCAGGGGCCGGCAGGGCCCCAGAGCGGCTGAGTGCGTGTGTCTGCCAGGCCCTGGGGGTGAGCCCCTGGGGGAGCGCGGGCCCTTCCTCCGTCTGTGGACACACCGAGGGCTCGTGCAGAGTCAGCGTCACCGCCCCACGCGTGGCATCTGACTCTAAGCATGTGTCTGAGAACCGTGCACCAGCCCTAGGAGCGCAGACATGCCCTGCGCCTGGCGGGCGCTCACGCTCTCTCTGCTTGGACACCCAGGCCCGTGCATGCATGTGTGTTGATTGACAAGGAGTTGGGGCTGGGAGCAGTGGAGACCACAGGACTTCAGGCCCAGCGGCCCTGGTAAAGGCTGAAGTAATCCAGAGCAACCTCAGAGGGGGCATGGGCCTGAGCGGGCCTCTGGACACTGAAAGCGGAGTGTGGGCTCTGGGGACAGGCAAGGGCGCCCCAGACCCGTCTGTTCCCCTGGCCGCAAACGTTTGACCTGGGACAGGGGACTCCCGCCTCTAAGCCAGCGTTCTCAACCTTCCTGATGCTGCGACCCTTTAACAGCTCCTCATGTTGTGGGGACCCCCAACCATAAACTTACGTTCGTTGCTACTTCATAACTGTAATTTTGCTATTGTTATCTCTCGCCATCGGAAATATGTGTTTTCTGATGGTCTTAGGTGACCCCTGTGAAAGGGCCGTTTGACCCCCAAAGGGGTCGCGACCCGCAGGTTGAGAACCGCCGCCCTAAGCCTTCATCCCACCATCTGTGAGAAGGCAGGGCCCTGAAGTGCCGCAGGGAGGAGCAGGCAGTCGAAGCAAGCGGTTAGTGATCGCCCAGGGAAGGGAGGAGGGCGTGGGGGCGAGGAGGGCGTGGGGGGGGCGGTCCTGAACCGCAGCCGCAGGAAAGGACACTTGTGTCCAGCAGCAACCGCCTTCAGTACGTTTCTTCTGACTCGTCACCTTCCCAGCCGAGGGCAGGCAGCTCAGGCCACGGGAGACCTGTCCCACGCAGGCTTGGCTCGCGCTGTCCTGTGCGGTGTCACCCTCGCGACCCAGGGGGGAGCTGGGGGGGCTGAGGATGAGGCCCCAGAGCGGCCATGGTCGGTTCTCCAGAGTGGAGGGTGGGGGGCCGGCTGACAGTGTGGGGTAGGAGCACGGGGTATCTGTCCCCACGCACTGCCACCCCGAGGCTTTGAGCCAGAGTCCTTAGGAGACATTTGGATCTGACGTGAGATGTTTAGTGTTCCTGGTAAAATAAAGAAATAAAATAGCCCATGTGTTTCCTTCAGGGGTCTTCCAGAGGCACTCACGGCCCTCGCCCACCCTCACTGTCAGGGAGCAGCGGTGGCAAAGGCCCGGGTGCTAACGCAGGGAGTGGGCACCGCCGCCACCCCCCTTCTGCCCTCCTGGGGTGCTCTAGGGTTCTGTTCGGGCGGGCAGGGCTGGGGAGCTGCCTCAGCTCAGGAGCCCATAGGGGCCAGTAGACCAGTTCTGGTCTTCCTCTCCCTCCTTGTCACCTAGGTCACTGTGCCACCCCACCTCACATCCCAGTCACCGTCCAGCGTCACCGGTGCCCCGCCAACACACTCGATGTCACCACAGTAACTGCAGTGGCAGGGCCCGGGGGTTCAGCCCTCTGCACCTTCTCTCTCCTGATGGGCGGGGACTGCCCGCGGGTAGGGACTGACCTTGTTGACCATTCAGAACCCAGACAGGTGTGCAGATACCATGCGGGGTGCCCAAAGGCATATAAACAGTGCATTTCATTATCTTCTTAGTACCGGCATAGCTCACATAGCTCATGAGCCACACTCAGCGATGAGGCCTTGGCCATCCGGGTCCAGGTTTGACTGAGCCCCCGCGTTTCATATGCTGTCTGGCAGCCCCGTAGCGACAAAGAGCCCTGGTGGGGTCCGAGGACGGAGCGACCAAACACTGAAGGCTGAACTCGGCTCTTCTGCAAAGGGGTTGGGGCAGGGGGTGCAGGCTATACAGGGAGACCAGAGCTCCAGTCCGGGACGGTGCTGGTGCCAGAGGGACCCGCTTCTGACAGGGGAGGGTTCACAGTGCCCCCTCATTGTGGTGGGTCCGCCGCAACCCCTGTACTAAAGGTTCACCCGAAAAAGAAATAGACACGGGCCTCCCAATGTGCCAGACCGAGGTCCCAGCTTCCCAGCTTCTTCTCTGTCCTGAGCCTGTGCCCGCAGAGAGGGTTTCTGAGCCTCGGCTTCTAAAGTGCTGGGCACTGCCGGACATGTTGGCCCGGGTCAGGCAGCAGCAGTCCACACCTGGGGCCTCTTCCCCGTCTGTGGCAGGGCTGTGACCTTCTTGGATGTTCCTGAACCTTGGACACATTGATGTCAAGAGGCCCTGGGGGGCGGGGTGAGTCACTGTGGGCACCTCCCTGCAGGATGGTGGAGCGGACACCGGGTGCAGGATGGTGGAGCGGACACTGGTTCTGTAACCAGCACAGAACCGGGCGGTGGCCGTGCCCTGGACCAGCTGTCTGCTGCTAGAACCTCAGACTCCCCCCCCCCCCCCCCGGAAACCTCATCCTTGTGCCGTCTGAGCAGCAAGGTGCTCAGGGGAGCTCAGCACATGGCCCCCTTGGACCTGCTGGGTCTGGCCCCGGCTGGGCATCCTTGCAGCTCCTCCTGACCTGCCCATTTGCCGCTGCCCCGCGGACGGCCCTCGGACCCAAGGCTCTAGGTTCCTCCTGGGATCTGTCTGTGAAGACCCCCTCCGCCCGCCAAGGTCCACCACCAAGCCCAGTTTTGAAGGCCTCGGGCCACCTGCAGGTACATCTTCCCTCAGATGGTGGTGGACCTGGGTCATCCTGCGGCTGGCAGTGCCATCGCTACCTCCTGCCCCTCCCCCACCCCGCTCAGCCTGCCAGAGGCCACCCACTGGGCCAGAGGGGCACCCCGGGGGGGATAAGGCTCATTCCCAAGTCACCAGCTGTGCAGACCTGAACAAGGGCTCCCCTGCCCACTCCCTAATTTTTAGCTCTCCTTTACCAGAAAAACAGGGAGACGGAACCCGCCTGGCATGCGTCTTTGTGTGCCAGCCAGGGAGGGCCAGGCCCGATTCTAGTGCGAGCAGGCCGCTTGCCAGCAGCAGCCAGAAGCAGTCAAGATCACCCCTCCCTCCGCTCCCAGGGTGGCAAAGGGCATTCATTACATGGAGGGGGAGGGGGAGTGTTTAACTCACTCCCGGGGGGTTGGGGTGAAGGGGGTGGTGGGAGGGACAATTCACAAAAGCCAGGGCTAGAAACTCTCAACGGTTTTTTTTAGAACTTTCCTTCCTCCCCTCCCCTCCCCCGCTGGGCTCCCCTCCCCCACCCCCAGCCGCTGGTGGCCTGCAGCCAACACTGGCCACACTGTCCGCATTCAGGCCCCCGGCCTCCGGCCTCCATCTCTTCCCCGGCCTTCCCAGCGCTGCTCCCTCGGCACCTCTCCCCCACCCGCTCCGAACCAGCTGACCTCTTCCGCCCTGGCGCCCAGCGAGGGCTCGGCCCCCTCAGTCCCAGGCGGCCGGCGAGGGGCTTTGGAGGCTGTGAGCCGCTCAGCGCCCACACGAACCTGCCCGGCCCCTGGCCCTGCTCGGCCACCCCAGCCAGAGGGAGACCGCTGCGTCTGCAGAAAGAGCCTCCGCCCCTGCATTCGCCCCTGCATTCCGGGGGGTGGCTTCCAGGCCGGAGGAAGCACCTCGGAGTTCGGCCCACTCCCCTAACCCCTTCTAGGCTCTTAACCCCTTCCTGCCCCGGCTTCCAAGTACCCCAGCCTTGCCACCCAAAGCAGGATGGGTGAGGTGGGGTCCCACATGCCCCTCCCAAGAAAATGGGGGTGGGTAGGCCTGGCTCCGGGGGCCTCCTCCTCCTCCCCATCCCCAACCATCTCGCAGGAAGCCCCCTCCTGCCCTGCCGGGCAAACCCACGGTGCCTCCAGCCAGAGCCTCTGGCCTGGTGGTTTCCGGGGAGAGAGCCTGGCAGAAGAGCCTCAGAAGCTTCTCGGTGGGGCAGGGCCAGCGATGCCAACAAGGGACACTGGAGAGGGTGGGAGGGTCCCCTCCCAGCCGAACCTGCCCAACCGGGCACGGATGACTGAAGAGGAACACCCCTGCCCCAGCAGGGCCAGCACCTGGTATGCTGTGCCCCAGAGGGTGGGGGGCAAAGATCAGCAGGTGCCTGGCTGGTACTACTCCGTGTGGGGGCTGGCCCCACCCAGGCCTCTGCACTCACCCCACCCATGCACCCCACCCCCACTACGCAGATCCTAGGGTTGGCAGTGCCCTGGATCCTGGGGGCAGGAGCAGCGCCAGGCACTCCCCTCAGGAATTCCCCTCTCCTTTGGGGACCCAGGTCCCTCCTCCAGCCTCATTGCACACGCCTCTGGCCTCAGAACCAGTCACTTGGCGAGGGCTTAGGGCACAGCTCGCTGGTTTCCTCCCTGACACCCGAGGAGGAAGTGGGGTGAGGAGGGGTCCAGGCGCCTCCCTGGCATCGACGTTTTCTCTGTGCTGATCTCCAAGAGCGAAAATGCACCTTCAACATCTCCATTTAATATTTACATTCAAGCAGGTAATAATTGGAAGCTTATAGTTTAGACATTTCTAGCAGCAGTTTCTAGAGAGCTCATTTAGCCTTTAACAAACTTTTTTTCTTTTTTCTTTTTTTGCACATAGAAACAACACATCCATGTGTACTGTATCAAAAAATATATACCAAGGTTACTGGCGTTGCAGTTCCTGGAGGCGGGGGATGGAATCAACCGAAATACTGAATGAACGGGAAGAGGGTTCAACAGAAGATAGTTGTCTGATAGAGAATATAACATGATCTAGAGGAAACTCCATAAATCTAGGTTTTTATATTTCAATATATAAATACCTACAAATAAATATATATATATCAGCCCGAAGGGGGTGGTCGGGCCTTTTGAGCTCAAACAATACATTTCAATAACACCACGTACAAACGGGAGTAAAGTCTGCACTTGACAAGTTAGCACGGTTAAAATATAATACTATAACTCTGAGGCCCCGGTGCGTGGCTGCCCTGTCAGTCCTGGAGGTCCGCGAGGGAGCGAGGGAAGGGGACAGGCGGGGGGAGACCCGCAGGCTCGGAGCAGGAGGCCCAGTTCAGGCGGAGGCCAGCGGGCGCCCCAGCCAGGACCCCAGAGCCGGATTCAGAGGAACGCGGTTCCTGCAGCTTTGGGCGTCCTGGAGCTGGGGGCCGGCCTGGAGCTCCCCGCAGTGGCTTAGAGGAGAGACCTGCCCCCAGGCCCCAGGCGCTAAACTCCTGCTGGGGGTGGAGCGTCTCCTTCCGACACCCTCTGGCTACACGGTCACGTACTCCTTGAAAGTGACGGTGAGGCAGTTCGCCGTGACGTCGGTGATAACTATATTCCCAAAGAAGGGCTTGAACTCGCTCAGCGGCTCTTCGGGCTCGTCCTGGGCCTCAGCCGGGGGCTTCTCCGCCGCTGTCACCGGCGCAGCGGCCACTGCCCCGGTGGCAGGGGCCTCGGGCTTCACTTGAAGGGCACTGGGCAGCTCCCCGGCCTCGCTGCGTGTCTTGACGCAGCGCAAGTCTATGGGCTCGTCCAGGTCCGAGTCCAGCAGGATGACCTCAGGCTGCTGGAGGGCGGCGGGGGGCACGTCTGCGGGGCGCTCGGCAGCTGGGCTGCCCCCAAGGCAGGTGGGTGTGCTGATGCTCCGCGCCGTCAGTCGCTTCTTGCAGGGCTCCCGCTCCCCGTGGGTCTCCGAGAGGCAGCGCTTGCGCGCGTGGGAAAGATTGAGGCCCACCGCGTGGTGGTGGTGGTGATGGTGGTGGTGGTGGTGGTGGTGGTGGGAGGGTGGGTGCGTGCTCCGGGCAGGGTCCCAGGCCAGCAGGTCAGGCTTGGTGGTGAGCTGCAGGGGCTGCTCGCCAAAGGCCTCCTTGGTCGGGGAGAGCTTGCGGGACCCGGAGTCCTGGGGCTGCGGGTCCCCGGGGCCGGGTACCTCCTCCTCTCTCCTCTTAAAGGGAGCTTCCGCCTTCTTCTCCTCTGTCCCCGCCGCCTTTTTGAAAGTCCTATCCGCTGGAGGGTGGCGTTCCTCCGAGGTCCGCTTCTTGTGGCCGGGGGAGCGCGTCTCGCCCTCCGCCGCCTCACCGGACTTGATCTTCACCGCCTGCATGCCGTTCTCCATGTACTTGCTCATCACGATCACGATGCGCCCGTTCTTGTTCTTGTTCTTGACGATCTTCATCTTGCCCCCAATCCCGTTGCCCGTCACTGCCTCCTTGGGGGCCGGCGTCATCCCGTTGGGGGGACCCTTCTCAGACCCCTTGCCTGGAGCCCCGGCAGCACCCGCCAGAGGCTTCACGGCTCCCAGGTAGCCCTTGGCCCCTGCGCCGTGGGCCCACTTGTCGGGCGGGTGGCTCTTGGCACCCAGGTCCGGGCAGGTGGGGCTGGGCGCCTCCTTGTGGCCGCCCTGGTACTGCAAGTCGTACATCTTGGGGTCGGGCTGATAGGGGTGGTGCTTCTTGCTGTTGAGCTGGTAGTAGTATTTGCCGCTCTTGCCCGGCGGCGGGGGCTTGCCCGCCCTCTCCTTGCCGTGTGGCTGGTACTGGTGGTGCTTCTTGCTGTTGAGCTCGTACTGATGCCCCTGGCCCTTGCCCTGAGCGCCCAGCTCCAGCTTCGTGCGGTGGTCTGCAGAGGAGTCCTGGAGTCCGCTCAGCACATTGGAGCGCCGGGCAAAGGTGGGTACCTGGGGAGAGGGGCAGGGGTGGAGGCAGGGTCAGAGGAGGGGGAACCAGCCTCCAGTATCAGGAGCATCCCAGCCCCCACCCAGTGGGCAGCTGGTTACCAGGGAGGCGTGTAAAAGGTCAGGTAGCAAGAAAAAAAATCGGAGTGTTCTGGAGAGCCCGCCCCCCAGGGCTGGAAGCCGCTCCGGAGGCAACTTCAAGGGAAAAACTCGTGGGGGGCCCCTAAGGTCGGAAGTGTTCTCACCTGCACCACCAGCGGTTTGGGCTTTGGGCCTCTCTTGCGATACCCCATCAGCTGCTCTTGCCGTTCCCTGAGGGGAGGAACATAGGGCAGCGCCGTTAGCCTCGGGGTGCCTTCCTCCTGCTGTGCTCCAGCCTGTGGTGACATCCACCTGTCCTCCAGCCACAGTGCCCGCAAGTCCCAGAGGGATGCAGACCTCAAGGCAAAAGGTGGCCTCGGGCCGGCCCCAGAGCCCTGCTTCACACTCCAGGGACCCTCACCTGCCCAAGGGGTCCTCGAGAATGCCACCTCTGAGGTCCCCACCTGAATTGGCGCCCCATACGACCCTGCCTCTGGGCAGGGGAGACGGCACTCAGGGCTGGGTCACCGGCACTGCTGCCCACAGCCTTAGGCCGGTGGTCCTGGGCAAAGTGGAATGGGCACAGGGGTTCAGGGGATGCAAACAAGCCTAAACGGAGGTGTGTAAGGACCCGTCCCTGCAGAGGCCGGGGATGCTAATGACCTCATTAAGATTCAGATAACGAGTGCCGCAGGCAGAAGGGAGGACTGGGTTTCCGAAAGGCCGGGCACTAAACGGGGAGGGGCTGCAGCCTTGTGTACACAGCCGCAAATGAGCCAATTAGGGGCTGGGGGCGGGGGCCGGCCGAGGAGGCCAGGTTCTGGCCAGGTTCGCAGTCACCTGGTGAACCGGCTAGAAGGCAGCCAGGGCAGGGGCGGGGCGGGGCGGGGCGAGGGGGGTGGGCACCCAGACAGCACAGGCCCCGCCCCCTCGCCGAGCCGGTCCCCTCGACTTCCAAATTAATAAAGCCCACGGGCGGTGGCTGGGTCAAGAGTTGCCTGGCTTCCTCCTGCAATGTGGCCTAGGGTGACCTGAGGTTGGGGGGCGGATTGTCCCAGCACCGCCCAGTGTTCCGTGGAAGAAGGGGGCGCCTTGGCCAAAGTTGCAGCCCATTTCCTGGCCAGAAACCCATTCTCCCGCGACCCTAGGCACCCCCTGCGGTGGGCTAACCCAGGGGAGCTCCACCAAGCCCGGGCGACTCCGAAGTTGCATGACATTGCAACAGCCTGCATTTTAATTCTCTGGGGACCCATTACGCAACATGGCATCAGCCACTGACATGGTTACAGGGTGGTGAACTCCCTGGTGGAGCCGGGCTAGGATCCCTTCTAGGCGACCCCCCCCCCCCCCCCCGCGTCGCGGGAGAGCAAGGTCCCCGCTGGTTGTTCACTGGAGGGTCTACGGTTTAGTTTTAGCGCCAAACCCACCACAGGAAATAATGCAAAATAAAGGGGGGGGGAAGCAGCAGAGTGGCAGAGTTCCGCGGCCCCTGCCGCTCCTCCCCTCCTGGCCAGCCCTTCCCCCTCGGTCCTCCCGAAACAGAGAACCACAGCCACCAGCGGTGAATCCAGCTGCAGCAGCTGCAGCGTGACAAGCATCTGTGTGCACAAGGGTGGGCACCTCGTCGGATACCACCCCTCCACCACCAGGCAGTGTCCGTCGCACACATTCTGGGCCAAATTCACCCACCAAGTAGCCCAGAGCCAGATATGAAGATCACCCTCTTCCAGCCAGAACCTGACCCCCCCATCCCAAGCTCCCTGGGGTTGATGGTGGGGGCTTAAGGTCTTGTCAACTTTTCTCCAGCCCCCAACAGGTTAAGTTCAGTTCCATGACGTCCAGTGGTTTCACAGTGCCAGCTCCCTTGGAGTTGCCCCACGACGTGCTAGGGCCAAGCAGCCCGTGGCTGCAGGAAAGCAACACCTAGGCTCGGGGGGTGGGGCTCCAAGGTTGGGACGGGAGGGGGGCCCTCGGGGGACTGGGCGCAGCTCCGAGTTCTCCGGGCAGCTGTAGGGCCACCCGCACTCACCCTTCCCGAAGTTCCCCCAAAACACAAGCCTCGTCTTCTCTGGCCCTGCCCCGCCCCCACCCCCAGGCTGCAGTAACCGCCAAGGACGTTGGTTAGAGAAGCCGAGGCCGCTGCCGTGTCGTGCAGGCCCGTCGGGGGAGGTGGCTCCCGCCGGCTCCTCCCCGCCCTCTCCCCCTTATTGCTGCGTGGCCCACTCTCCCGTCCCCATACAAGGTCCCACTGCAGGCGGCTGCTGGGGGAGGCTCACCTGTTCTGGAAGGCGATCAGCAGCCGAGGGTCCAGGATGTTCTCCTCGGGTTCCCACGTGTTATATCTTGCAAGGGAAAAGGGAGGGGGACATGGCGTAAAAAAAAAAAAAAAAAAATACCACAAAAAACGAGCGAGCGCTGCGGCCTTCAGGTGGGGAATGACAGAGGCCCTATTCTGGTCTCCATGAACCGAAAGCTACTGAACTGTGGATGTGGGGGCTGGAGGGTGGATTTCTGCAGGCCTGACACGGCCCCTGATACCTTCCCCCCCCAAGTCAAAATAAACACACACGAGCAGGAAGGGGAGGGGTAAGGAAAATGAAACTAGCAGTTTATTTTGCAGTTGTCAAGAATTTTAAGCATGTTACTGCGACATGTTCCAAAGCCACTTTGCTCACCAGGAACCCTGCGTGCAAAGCAGCCAAAATGCAAAGTCGCAATCCCCTCCTGTCTCCCCAGCCCCGAGTCTCCGCTAGGACTTCAGGCGTTCTCCATTTGACCCCTAATCCTATAACCCGCAGCCCGGCGGCCCCCCCACACTCCCTCGCTGCCCAGGAGCCCGCTGTCACGGGCAAGCACCCCCAAATACTCAGCAACACAAAAATATGCCTGTGTGTGTGAGTGTGTGTGTGCGTGCCTGCGCGTCTGTCTCCATCCGGTGCCTTCGCATTTTAAATTAAAAAAAGAAATTCCCCACCAACAGCGCTGCAGTGGCAGCGCCCCACATTTTCTGCCTTTTTTCTCCCTCTCCCTGCACCGCTAGGAGGGAAGAGGCACACAATTGCATTTTCGTCGCTTTTTAATTTTTTTTTTTTTTTGGGTTTTGCAATATGGAGCCGTTCGGTGGAGGGAAAGGGAAAAGGAGCCATTTTCTGCTGCACAGCAGCCAGTGCCTGCGCCCTCCCTCCCTCTGCCGGCCTCCCCGGCTCGGCCCCGCGTCTCTCCGGCTCCTCCGGCTCCTTTTAGCGCATAAATTAGTGATGGCATTTCCCGGAGAGCGGAGCACAACACAGGGCGCCGGGCTCGGGCTCGGCGGCTCGGCTTCCCTAGTGCCTGCCACCGACTTCCCCACCCCCTCCTCCCTCCACCCACCTCCACCCCGCCTCCCGTCCGCTCCCCCCACCACCCCACCAGCCCGGCGGGTCCCGAGCCCCGGAGCCCCGCGCCGCGGCACCCGGCTCCCCCGCCCCTCCGCCGCTACTTACTTGGGGGACCAGCCTCTCCATTTCACCAGATACTCCACTCTGCCCTGCGGGGGGAAGAGACAGCACTCCATCAGCTTCCGCGGGATCCCCGGCTCTGGCCCGCAGCCTCCCCACCCCCTCCCTGCCTCCTCGCGGGCTGCTCCGGCCGCCGCTGCCTCGCCGCCACCCCCGCGCCGCCCTACCTTGCGGATCCGCTTCTTCTCGATGCTCTCCACCGCGAAGACGTGCTCGCCAACGGCTGGCAGCTCCATGGCCGAGCCGGAGCGCGCCGGGGCGCGGGCAGCCGGCGCGGCTGCAGACCCTGCTGGCTCCCGCCGGCGCCCCGCTCCGCCCCGGCCGAGGCGCCCCCGCTGTCCGCGCCGCCGCCGCTTGCCCCGCACTGCCCGGCTCCTGCCGCTGCCCGCGCCCGCCCGGCTCCCGGCTCGCGCTCGCTCAGACAACTGAGCCGGGGCCGCGGCTGCACAGAACTCATGCAAATCCGGACGTCAGCGGGCGGGGCCTCGCCGGGCCCAGCTCGGCGTCAGGGGGCGGGCCGCGGCCGGGATTGGCGCAGCCCGGCCTACCGGAGGCCCCGGTCCTGGGCGCCGAGGGGGAGGAGGAAGGACGCCGGAGGGAGCCAGGAGGAGGAGGGCGCCGGGGAGGTGCGGAGGGAGGGCTCCTCGAGCCCGGGCGAAGGAGGCTGGAGGGAGGGAGCGAGACCGGGCAGGAGAGGTGTGTCGGCCGAGGGCCGAGTGGGGCGGAGAGCTTGACAGGGCCCGGACGGTCCACGCAGCGACCCCTCACCTTCCGCCTGGCCCTGCAGCCAGTCCCTCACCTCTTGTTCTCAGCGTCCACCGCCCGGGACCCCTGCTGGGGACCACCAAAGCGTCCCTTGCCGTTTCCAGTTGCATCGAGTTGCGTCATGTGCAAACACACAGGGAGCCGCCGGCAGGGGGCGAAATCGGGGCCGGGGCAGCTGGCGCCCCCGATCCTGCGTGTCCCGTTGCCCCGCCCCGCGAAGCATTGGGCATTTATGAAGGCGAAGAAGGGAAGAGAAAGGGCCCAGAGAGGACAGGACCGGTGCAAAGGCTAGCTGGGGAGAGCGTGGAGAACAGCCGAGGAGGGAGACAAAGAGGCAACCACCCTGGGGTCCTGGCGCTAGAAGGGGGTTCTGAGTCCGATTGCACCCGACTCTGATCGGCTTCCAGTTTCCTTTAGGTCCTTTCCTTGGCGTAGGGACAGGGGGGCTACTTTCCAACAGCATTACGCCCCCCCCCCCCGCAGGGCCAGAGGCGGGGAGGGCAGAGAGGGGGCGCCCTGATGTCCAGGTCCACTTGGGGCACTTCGTGGGGTCCCCAGTAAAGGCATCAAAAGAGGGAGCGAGAACGCTGAGAAGAGAATGAGGCCGAATGGGGGCAGATGGGGCCGCCCGAAAGGGGGGAGAGTAGAGTGGACCAGGAGCCAAGCATTCGTCACGAATTCGCATCCCCTGCTCCGGGACGGGCCGCCGAGCCGAGGACTCCCGGCGAAGCTGGAGAAGCCGCGAAGTGTGAAGTTTAGCACCTCAGCCGGCGAGACAGCGCGTTCCGGCGTGCGGCTCCAGCCTCCGGCTGGGGGAGCTGCTGCACCCCACGAGGCCTCCCGAGGGCGCCACCCACGGGGCCGCGAGCTCGGAGGGGTCGGGGTGGGCAGTGAGGGGACCTGGGGATAGGGCAGGGCGGCCCGAATGGGAGGAGCAGGGGCGCGCCTGGCCTGGGGTGTGCTCGGGCCCCCGGCTGTGGGCCCTTGAAGGACCTGGAGCAGGAAGCTTGCGCAACCCCTTGGCTGAGCGTCCATGAGAAAGAAGAGCTGAAGCCCAGCGAGAGTGGAACAGAGAGGGAGGCGGGCAAAGAGCCATCCGGGTCTCTGTTCCCGCCCTAACACACGGCCTGGAATGCTGGGTGGGGACTGCTCCCGGACTAACGAGACGGGAAAGGGTGAGGTGCGGAAGCGAACCCCCAGAAGCGTGTGCGGGGCTCAGTGTCCTCCCAGGAAGCCGCAGAAGCCTGGAGGCGGCCTGGTGTTTAAGAACGCACATGTTGACTCTCCACCATTTCACCGCCACCTCGCAGCTCCCGCGGCGGCGGCGGCGGCGCCGGCGGCGGCGGCCGCTGCCCAAGGCGACTAGTGTGTCTCCCCTGCAGGAGGGGTCCTGGGCGTGGGGTCATCTTCGGGAGGCATCAGACAGGGAGGGACTGGTCTGCAGCGACTGCTCTCTGACAAGCTCCAGGCGCAAACACAAGATTCCCAAGGTGGGGGTGGGTTTGTCCGGCCAGGTGGGGACGACGCCTGCCCATAGTCCTTGGGACAGGGGTGGGTGGCTCCCGGTGTTTTTAGAAGGTGGAGAAGTGAACTCTTTGGGAGAGGGACACAGGGAAGATGTTTTTCTCTTCCTGTTGTGTTTTGGGCTTTTGCCTTCCACTCTTACCTGGGACGAAGCTCTTGTGTGGGACATCTCCACCGCGGAAGGGGAAGGGTCCCCGAGGCTGGATCGGGAAGTGCTGTCAACCCGACAGTCACCCTTCCCCGCTGAGCCAGCTCCACCCCCACCCCCCACCCCCCGCCCGGCCATCAGCGCTGTCGGTCTGTGGGGAGGACTGCAGCGACCTTGTCCTGCACAGTCCTGTCATCCGGGGAGGGGCTGATATTCCCGACACTCTGCCCGGCCCCTCGTTAGAAAATCCCCTGGAAAATCTGTTTCCAGTGGTTGTTTCCGGGGCGTCCTGGTCAGGGGGCGCCAGGGGAGGGCAAGCGACCGCTGCAGCCTCCGCGCCGCCAGGGGCGTCGGACTCCGCAGGTCGAGGCTGTGCTCGCTGAGCCCGCGCCCCGCCGGGGCTCGCGATCCAGACTTCGGGGGCCACGCTATGGCACCCGGTGCCCCGACGGCGAGTTTGCGCAGGAGCCGGGCTGGGCCTGTTGCCGAGCTCGGGAGGAAGGTGGCTCCCGCCGGCCAGGACAGTGGATCTTTTCTGGGGCTGCCTGTGCAGCGGAGCGAGAAGTCGCCAGGATCCCCAAGGCTGTGGGAGGCAACGCCCCAAAGTTCCTCAGAAGCCACGGGAGACCTGTGCCACCCCCACTCCTGGCCATTTGACCACCACTGGGAAAATGCCCGAAATACACAAGCACCCACGGAAAGCGGCAGCTGGCTTCCCGATTCCCTCCCGCAAGTGTTTGTTTTGTCCTCTTTGAGGGTGGACGAGCTTGAAGAGAGGCCAGAACCCTAGCCTCGCCCGGGAGGCCGGCTCTAGCCCACCAGTCACCTGCCAGCGGGTGTGGGGTGGAGCTCTGGTCCGCGGGAGCGCGGGTGGACTGCAGGGAGGAAGCAGAGACAGAAGGGGTGGGGGTGAGCCCCTGGAAGCTCCCCTGATGGGCCCGGGCGGCCCCTCCTGGGAAACCTCCCGTGGGACCTTCCCTATCATCTCACCTCTGTCTCGGCCCCTCGGAGGAGCCGCAGGCGAGTGGAGCCCAAAGTCGGGATTCCCAGAGCCTTCAGCTGGGGCCCCTGCCTCTGACCCGGGATATCCCAAGCCCTACGGGGAACCCCAGAGAAGGGTCGTGAGCCCTCGCACCGGACGCTGCCCCTCCCAGCCAGGCTCAGATCGTGCCCCTAGGCTCCGCTGAGGGAAAGAAGGTTTTCGGGCACCACCCCAGACTGGGGCCCTCAGGGGCCCCAGGAGAGGAGCGATGCCATCTCGCTGAGTTGCAGGGACTAAAGAGGGGACCCCGGAGAACCCAGAACTTTTAAATGACTGTGGGCTGAAGGGTGGTCACTGAGAGTCCAGGTCCAAAGGGGTCTGACCCACGCCAACCCCAGGAAATAAACTTCTTAAAGACTCCTTTTCCCTGAATGGACGCTCTCTGCAAGGAGATGCCGCCACCCGCCCACGGAGCCCAGGTCTGGGCTCTGCCCAGAAGCCGCCTGAGACTTCCCCGGCCGGTCCCGGACCGGAAAACTCTGGCGCTGGTGTGGCTTTCTAGGCCCCCGAGGTGGAGTTCAACTAGCCAAGGGAGAATTTACTAGCAACGACTACAAAATCTGCCCAGGCTTTGACAAGAGCCATTTCTTTGCTTTGTTCTCCGTAGAGGGACTTGCCTTTGGCTTTAGCACTGGCGTTTGCAATGTTGCATTTTTAGCGTTGGTTTTGGGGGAGCTGACGTAGTAGGACTGTCCTTGTATGGGGGGAGGGGAAGAAGAGCCGGGAGGTGTGTGGGAGCCCCAAACTCCGCCCACTGCGCCCTCTCGGAGAGATGGCTTTGTTCCTAAGGGCGCCCCTCCGCCCTCTGCGTCCCCGTGTTTCTGCTCTTTGTCACGCCGCCCGCGAAGGGTCGGCTTTCATGTGGGTGGAGAAGCCCCTGACGCCTCCGCGTCCCTCCGAGGCGGGTCCTCGGGGCTGGATCTGGGGCCCCAGGTGGGAGGGCCGGGCAGGGTGCTGGGGTGAGGCAACGGGCCTGGCGCGCCATGAGGCCTTGGCCCTTTGGCAGATCTTGGGCAATTCTTGGGGCCACACCGCCGCCCACAGGGCCGCGCCTCCGCATTGCGGCATGCGGGGGTCGCAGGCGACGAAGCGGGACGTGTCGTTTTCTACGACGTGGGCTGGCCCACCCCCTCCCAAAGTCAGGGAAGCCTCCCCAGGCCCGCCTGGAAAAGGCCACCAGCCCCCACCCCATGCTTCCTCGCGGGGCTCCCGCTGGCCTGGAGATATGCGCCCCCAAGATCCATATTTCAAATATGATCTTTGGAGCCGCTGCCACCGCCCGCCGCCGCCGCCGCGCGCTCACAACGGCCTCTGTGTGCTGTGTGTTTTTCATTTGGGGTTCGTTTGCCCAAGGTCTCCCTGCGGGCGTCCTCTGCCCGCCAGGTTCGCTCCTCCATGCCCGCCCTGCGTTTTGCTCTCGGGTGCCCCTGTTGCTCCCCCGAACCCAGCGGAGCCCACACACAGGGCAGATTTCTTTCTTTCCTTTTTCCAACCAAGAGCTGCTGCAGCAAACCCGAGAATGAAATAAAAATCGCCCGGCGGAGCCCGAAGTGGTCGTCAGCCGAAGCGCTACTGCCACCCCGACCCTCCCCCCAGCCCAAGGCGTACCACCCTCCCGGTCACGCGGCGCAGCAAGGGTTACGCGCGCGCCCGAGGGGTATTTGGCCAAGGGGTGGAGCGGGGGGTGGGGTTGGGTGTGGAGTGCCGCGGCCGGGGAAGCTGGGCTCGCTCTCCTTCCCCCCACCAGACCCGGAGTGGCGGGGCAGGCGCGATCGGAAGGCCCGGTGCGTCTCCGCCTCTCTAGCTGGCCCGGAGCCGAGTCTGGCCGCGGCCCGGAACCGCGAGGACGCTGCTTGGAGGCCGCGTCCTGCGTAGCCGGAGCGGGGGAGGGGGCGGAGGCCCGCGAGCTGCGGCCGAGCGTCGCCAGCCAGCCGATCGATCC